GCTCAGATCCCCGCGTCCCTGTGCACAGGGAGGCAAGGGGCTTTTTATAGTCAGGGACAGAGGAGAGGGAGACAGAGATGCAGACCCCTTCAGCTGCGGCCCTCTTCAGCTCACTGTTTCTTTCTTGTGGAACGGGAACTGGGCTGCAGGCTTCCTGGTGTCCACTTCTATCTGTTCTGTTCATTGATCCGGGCTAAGGAGCGGAGGGAAAGCTCTAGGTCGGAAATGTTTATTTATTTATCTATTTTAATGTGTTTGGTACAGGGTCTACAGGGTCTCACTACGTAGAGCAGACTCATAGTGCTTCTCCTGTTTTCAGCCTCCGGAGCACTGGGATGACCGGTGCGCGCCACCACGCTCAGTCTCGACGGCCAGCGCAGGGCGCCCGGGGACGCTGCGGCTGGAACCTGGCCCTGCGCTCTGCCTGAGCAGGCGCTGTAGTCCACTGAGCTATCTGACCCGCCCTATGTTAATATTTTTGAGACAGTGTTTCCATTATATAGTCCAAGCTGGCCTCAAGCTCCCGGCGATCCTCCTGCCTCAGCCTCTCCAGTGCGGGGATGACAGGCTTGTACCACCACACCTGACAATAAACCTTTTTTTTTTTTTAGTATAACTACTACAGCTCTGCTTATGTTGGTAGGGCCCATACCCAGGTGACTCTTTGATGTTCACAGGTTCTTCCCTCTGGTCTGTTTGTTTTTGGCGGAACCGGGGATTGAACTCAGCCCCTTCGGACAAGTGTTTATTCTACTGAGCTATCTCCCCGGTCCCTTCCCTCTGTTCTTGAGTGTGCTTCTGTTTTTTGAAGGCAGTGTCAATTAGCCACCCTTAACCTTGTCTCTCCACGCCGAGGCAGGTCTTTCACGTGATGGGCACTTGCCACATGTCCCAGGTTGGAGGGGAGGTGACAGGTGACGGGCATCAACGTCATACCGCCTTTTGGTTAACTTTGAGCAATAGCAGAGGTTGAGAAAGAGGCCCACAGACAGATTTATCTAGAGTCCATTGTCAAGTCTAAGCGTATTGATTTTGTAATCAGCACCTTAAGACAGGAGAATGCAGGCAGATAGTTATCAAGTTGCTAAGGAAACATAAAACAAGCTAATAAGAATAGAGCCAAGCTCTGGGCTGCATAGTGAGACCCTGTCTCAAAAA